ATTACTTTGGAAGTGAGAACTTACTCTTAATTTCCCCCGCCGAAGCCATTGCTTCCCACTTAGCAGAATTACGGCAAATACTAATTAATGACACAACTCCTAACTGAGAAGCTGCGGTTGGCCATTTATTAAAAAATAAAAAAGAAAAAGAATTTACTCGCTTGGTCAGAAAAATCGAAGAAATAATTATTTCTCCCCAACAACTTGCGGATACGGACCAAGTTTTTTTTAATAATTGCCAAAAAATTTCTTCTTCTCTTACCCAATTTTCTGACCCGCCGCCCCTCACGTCTTCTTCGCAATTGCGAGTTTTGCGGGTAAGTGAAGATAGTTGGTTTGATGAGAAAAATTTGAGAGCTATTTACGATGAAGAGCATTACCGTCTATTCATTTTGGTCGAAAAGTTAAAAAAGTTGCAAAGCAAATTTCTAGAATGAAATATTTCTCAAAAAGTCTTAGAGAAATTAGAAAGGTTAATTAGCGAATATGAAGAAAGAGACCCAACCCAATTTGATTGCTTAGTTTTTTACCACCAAGCCGAGGCCAATTGAAAAATAATGGAAAGTAAGTATAAGGAAATCCAAGAGAATTTGGAAAAAGACCCCAATTATCTGGTGAAAAAAAAATGTGGGAATTATTTACAAACTAATTTTCCTCAATTTTTCGCCAAAAACTGCATCAAATTGAGTAGCTTTTTCGAAGAAATGGTAAAAGTTTTTGCTGAGAAATTTTATGATGATCCGGATTGGTTTTTGCTTAATGAAACTCATGGAGCTAGCGAATTAAAAAAAATGGTTGATAAAATCTGTTTTGAGTCACTTGAACTGTTCCGTCCTAGCACTCTTCAAGAATGAGAAGAAATAAGGAAAAATATAATTAATATTATTCGAAAAAATTTTTATGGCTAACGAGGGTATAAGATTGACTGCTGAACAAAGAGAATGCGTTAACTTTCCGCTCAGCTAACAGGTTCTAATTGTTAATGCTGGGCCAGGAACCGGAAAAACCGAAATTATTAAGGAGCGGATGAGATTTATTGTGGAGCAAAATCTTAATCAACGGCAGGTCATTTTGGTTCTAACTTTTAATAGAAATATTTCGGCAGATATTAAGCGAAAATTGAAATTAATCATTAACAAGAACGCAACTTTTCTCCAAAAAAATAACCAGTTTTCGAAAAGAAGCAATCTCTCCTCCTGTCTGGTAACGAACCGCACTTTCCACTCTTTGTGTTACTGGATTTTTGGAATGGAGCAAGAAAAAATTTCTGGTAAAGAGAGTTTTGAAATTTTTTTGGAAGAAAGAACCAAGGAGTATTCTTTTCCTTTTTGAACTGATTTTACCACTAATTTCGTCGAGTTCATTAAGGATAAAAAGAAAAATTTTTTAAGAAACCCGGCCAACGGATTAAGATTTAAAATTTTAGATAATCTTTGTAAGTATGTTTTAAACAAGAAAAGCAATAATGTTAGCGAGAAGTTGAGGCGAGAGTTAATGTGGGAAGGAGAAATATGAAAAAAAATTGGGATCAGTAAAGAAAAAAGACCACTTATTTGTCAAAAAATTGCTTATGATGAATATTTGTGGGAAGCCCGCTCAGTTTTGGAAAAATCTGGTCGTCTCGACTTGTATGAAGCAATCAAAGAGTTTTTTATTAGTGACCAAAGAAAAAGATTTTGATTATTTTTTGACGATTTGGTTGATAATGTAACTGATTTTCTGAAGAAAGACGAAGAGATAACAAAGCGTTGGCAAGTTTTTGATCATATTCTGGTTGATGAAAGCCAAGACTTGAATGAGTTACAACTAGGAATAATAAAATTGCTTTGTTTGCCTCATACTACCCTAACTTTTGTAGGTGATCCTAAACAAACCATTTATGGGTTTCGGGGGGCAAAAAGTGGCATTTTCGAAGCCATTAAAAACCTTTTTCCAAATAACGTCCAAAAAAATGTCACAGAGAGTTTTCGTTCTCACCAAGAAATTATTGCAGTAGCTAATAATTTTTCTCAGAAATTTCTCTGGGCGTGACATTACACCGATTTAAAATCAAGAGAACCCGGAGAAAAGCCATTAGTTTTCTTGAGTGAAAATAGTCAAAAACAAATAGATTTTGTGGTAGAACAGATTGACCGAACTCGGGAGCCAGCGAGAAAAGCTATTCTTTATCGCAACCAAAATTCGGGCAAGCAAATAGCCAAGGAACTAAGAAAAAAGAATATTGATTTTATAGAGCTTGGAGACAGAGATAATGAAGGAGTGAAAATAATAAAAAGGTTGGAAAATTTGAAAGTTGAGGAAAAGCGGGCGAATTTTTTAGCGTGAGAGATTTGCTGGAAAAGTCAAATGTTTCTTTAACTGATCCGGATGTAGTTGATTTTGTGGAAGAGTATGATAATGAAATTGAAATTGAGCGACAACTATGAAAAAAAGGAAATAAACTTACTCCTTTTCAAGCAAAAAGATTCATTCAAGAATTAGAAGATTTTACTTTCCGTCGTTTTCTAGTTAACAATCCCAAGGATAAAGTAGGAAGAATCATCCTTTCCACCATTCACGGAAGCAAGGGTTTAGAGTTTGACCACGTTTTCTTGGTAGATGTTAACGAAGAAATTTTACCCAGTAAAAATACTAAGAGCACGGAAGAAGAACTGGAAGAAGCCAGAATTTTTTACGTCGGGGTAACCCGAGCCAAAAAAAAATTATATCTTTGTTCTTCTGATCGCGAAAAAATTTCTCAGTTTCTCCTCAAGATTGACCCGAAACTGGTAGGAATTAGGACTAGCAAGGTTGATTTTTCAAAGGCCGCCCCCTTATTTTCTGCTCAAAAAAAAGAAGAAATAATCGGCGAAGAAGGAGAAGAAAAGGTTTATGATTTACTAGTAGAAAGTCAAATTCCTTTCTTAAAATTGGTAAAAAATTGAGAAGAAATCCCTAATTTGCAAATCGACATTTATGCCGAAACTGCCACAATGGTTTATTTTGTGGAGGTGAAAAATTGAAGTTGAAATTATTATTCTCACCACAAAAAAGAAATTTTGGAACAACAATTCAATCGGGAGCAAGCAATAAAACTGGACTGACAAAAAACGGGAAAAGAAGTTAATAAAAAAATTACCTATGTAATTTGTTTCTTTTACTGAAAAATGGCTCAGGATTTCCAGGATTTTTATCAGCAACTACAAGGCGAAAAACAACTAAATGAAGAGAAAATATTGTTTGCTTTTTACGAAGAATCCGACGAGGAATTCGCCTTTTTTGCTGACCCAAGAATCAAAAGAATTGAAAAATGAATAAAAGCAATAGAAGAAAAAAATGACCCAAAATAGCGAAATTTTCCCTAAATTATGAAAATTACTAGATAAGCGGCGGGGCAATGGTAATATTGATATTTTACGCTATATCGTGCCGGATCTGATTTTTTTGCTAGCTGTTTCCGTCCGATATGAAAAAGAAGAAAAAAGTCGGCCTACTTATGACGTTTTCAAAGACCCTATTTATTTAACCTTAGATTTGCCACCCGAAAGCCAATGAAAGAATATTTTAAAACGTATTCAGGAAAAGCCCCAGGATACTAAATTGCAAATTTATCAAGCCTTACAAGCTGTCGAAGAAGTTAAAATTGAGGGGTTCAGTTTGGAAAATTTAACCTGTAAGGAGCGTTTTTTAGACCGAGATCTGACTGATTATGATTTGCAATCGGTTATCAATGAACTTAATGAAATATTTCAGGAACACAGTTGAGATTACGATTTTTTTGGTAGTATCTATCAGTTTTTTTTGCACCAGTTTACTGCCAAAGGCGGAAAAAGCGGTGGCGAGTTTTATACGCCTCTTTGTGTGGTTCAATTATTAGTTAGTTTAATACAACCTCGGGAAAAATCAGTCGTTTATGACCCTTGTTGCGGTTCGGGGGGAATGTTTGTGCAAAGCAAATCTGTTATCAAAGAGATTAAAAAAAATGGGGGGGAATTGCATTGCTTAGGTCAGGAAAGGATTCCTGACACTCTTCGTTTAGCGAAAAGACGACTAATTTTGGAAGGTATCACTAATTTTCGTTTGGAAGAAGGGGATACTTTGCTTGAAGACAAGTTTCCGGACCAGCAAGCCGAATTTATTTTAGCTAATCCTCCTTTTAATCAGGCTCATAATGGAATGAGTGAGGGAGACATTCGTTGACAAAAATACGGATTTTGCCCAAAAAATAGCAATTACGGTTGGATTTCTCACATCATCCATAAACTAAAACCAAAAGGAGTCGGAGCAGTGATTATGGCTAATATCACTTTGTCTAGTTTAAATAGGAGAGATGTAGAAATGCGGCAAAAATGGCTAAATGATAATTTGGTAGAGGCCATTGTTATCTTACCAAACAAACTTTTTTATACTACTTCTATTGCTCCTTGTGTTTGGGTTTTGCGTAAAGGTCGCGAAACTAGTGAGGTATTAATGATTGATGTTTCCCAAGATGATTTTGGAGAAAAAATAAGTAGCAAAGAACGAGTGCTAAATAAAGAAGATATTAAACAAATCAGCGAAGTTTATTATTCTTTTCAAAAAAGTGGTGAATTGAAAAAAAATAGTATTCCGGCCGTTATAGTTTCTCGGGAAGAAATTGAAAAAAATAACTTCGTTTTAGTTCCCAGTCGTTATTTACCTGACGGGCAAGAAAAATTAACTCCGGAAGAAATTGATAAGCAGTTACTGGAAACTACCACTGAACTAGAAGGGTTAGTCAAAGAACAAGATAAATACCACCAAGAATTAAAAACTTTACTGGCAGAAATAAAGAAAGAACTGAAAAATGCTTAAAAATGAGAAAAAAATCTACAAATTGGCGGAAATTTGTGAAATAAAAACTCATCCGGGAGGATGAAATATTAAGGGGTCAGCCAATCCCGTTCATTGAGAAAACGGAGCAGTTCCTTACTACCAAATTAAAGACATCCAAAACCAGATTTTACATCCAAAAAAAAAACTCAGACCCGAGGTGGCAATAGAATGGAAATTACCTTTAACTACTGAAAATTCACTACTTTTGACCACTGGTGGAACAATTGGTAAAGTCTTTTATCCCGGAATAGCGGGTTGTGCTTTCGCTAGCACTATTACTTGTTTAGAACCCAACCTTGATTTGGTTCTTCCCCAATTTCTCTATTATTACCTACAAAGTAAGGAAAACCAAATAAGCAAATTGGTTGTGGGTAGCACTGTTCCTATGCTAACTAAAAGCACTCTTTCCGACTTTCCCATTTCATTGCCTTCTCTCGAAGAACAAAAGAAAATTCTCACTAAATTTCAAATCGTCTATAATCAAATATTCGCTAGCGAAATTCATTATCAAGATAATCTGCAAAAAATGATTCAAAAACATTTAAAAATCGGTGACTTGCTTTTTCAAAAACACCATGATTCCACTATCCAAATTAAAGACCATTTTCAATTAGTTTGCGGCCGAACTCCTCCAAGCAAAGAGGAGCCTTCTTTGCAGAAAAAAAATATTCCGTTAGAGATAATTCGCAGTCATCCCCACCGACGAGCCAAAACTAATTATTTTTTGACTATTTTTCGTCTTCGTCATAGCATTAGTAAAGCCATCCATGATTTTTTTCATCAAGAAGAATTTTATTATGTCCCAACACCAATTATTACTAGCAATGATGCGGAAGGAGCCGGAGAAGTATTTAAAGTTGCTACTAACGAAGAGGAACCTTTTTTCTTGCGACCTGCTAACTTGACCGTCAGCGGACAACTCCATGCTGAAGCCTTGGCCCAAGGACTAGGAAAAGTTTACACTTTTAGTCCTTGCTTTCGGGCCGACCCTTCCCAAACTACTCGGCATCTGGCCGAGTTTTGGATGGTCGAAGCCGAAATGACTTGGGCTGATTTAGCCCAAATTACGGATTTAGCCGAAAAATTGCTTAAATACACGATAAATTATGTTCTGGCTAATAATGAAGAAGAACTAGCATATTTTGAAAAATACCAGCAAAAACCAATAATCGAAAAGTTAAAAAATATTGTCAGTGCTAAATTTCAGCACCTTAATTACGAGGAAAGCCTTGGAATATTAACCAAAGCCCAAAATAATTTCCAGCAAAAGAATATTTTTTTCGGCCTGGATTTTCAAGCCGAACACGAAAAATATTTGTGCCAACATTTTGGTAATCAACCCCTTTTTATTCTTAATTATCCCACAAAATTTAAACCTTTTTACATGAAAAATAACCCGGATGGGAAAACCGTGGCTTGTTTCGACTTAATTTTTCCCGAAATTGGGGAACTAATTGGAGGAAGTGTGCGGGAAGGCAATTACCAAGTTTTAGTCGATAAGGCTTATCAGAAAAGCCTAGACTTAGATAATTTAAGTTGATACTTAGATTTACGCCGCTATGGTTATGCTTCCAGCAGCGGGTTTGGTTTAGGATTAGAGAGATTAATAATGCTTTTTAGCGGAGGAGGTAATATTCGGGACACGATTGCTTTTCCGCGGTCTTTTCGCCAATTGGATTTTTAAAAGAAAATTTAAATAATGATTAACGTATTTTAAATGTTAATTATGTTAAAAAATCAAATAGTAAACATATCAGAAACAATAGCATTGATAAATCTAATAAATTGATTTAAAGAAAAGAGAAAAGAAGCGAAAATGAATGATATTTTGATGACTTTTCTTGCCTAGAAATAAAAAAATACGAAGGAATGGGATATGGTGCATGTTACAGTGGAGAAGAAAAAGAATATTATTATGGGAGCAGTGGAAATAAAATTCTTCTTTGAGTTCCTTATCAACTTATTCTTTCTAGTGAAAATATTGGCAAAGTTGACTTTTTTTCTCAATTCCATTCAATAATTCCTGATTGAAACATATATGGTCATTAACTATATTTTGCACGTAGAACAAATGACTATTAATTTTCTTAATATTGACTTAATAATGAACCCTAACAAAAAAGACCAATTAATCCAATCACTCCAAGCCCAAATTCAGGAATTACAAACTAAATTAGAGGATTATTCTCAGGGTGGAATAAAAATTCTCTTTTCAGGAAAAGCCAACTCTCAAAGAGTAGCCCGCAAAGTAAAACCCCGCACTCTCCGCGAAATACCCGAGTTAAGCCTGGGCAACGAAGAACAAAAAACTAAAAATCTGGTGATTGAAGGTGATAATTTGCTGGCTCTGTCTACTCTTTACCAATATCATGGTAAAATTGATTTGATTATTGCCGACCCTCCTTATAATACGGGAAAAGATTTTCGTTATAATGACCGTTGAGATGAAGACCCTAATGACCCTGGTTTAGGAGATTATGTTAAGGCCGATGACCCTTCTCGACATACTAAATGAATGAAATTTATGTTGCCGCGTTGTCAAATGATACGACAAATGCTAAAAAACAATGGTGTTTTTGCCATTTGTATCGATGAAAGAGAATTATTTAGGTTAGGAATGATGTTAGACGAAATATTTGGAGAAAATAATAGGATTGCGATAATTAATTGGCAAAAAATGGGCGGCCCAAAAACTTATACTCATGTTTCACCAGCCACCGAATACATTTTGGTTTATGCCAAAGATTTAGAAAAAACTAAAACCGGCTTAATGCCTCGTGGTGATAATTACTTGGGACAATTTAAAAACCCCGATAATGACCCCTTGGGAACTTGGGTTATCGGAGACCCAAGTTCCCAAACTCCTATTTATAGAATGGTTTATGGCCTCCAAAATCCTTTCACGGGGGAAATTTGCAAACCTCCAACCGGATCCCATTGGAGGTTTGCAAAGCCGCGAATGAAAGAGTTTTTACAAGGCTGGGGTTCTGAATATGAAGAGGTTGACCTCAAAGATGGAAAATCGGTGGCCTTATTAATTAAAGGTTTTTTGGTAGAAAATATTTCTAATCCACTTCAAGATCCAACAATTCAAGCCGCAGTCAAAAAAGCCCAAGAAATTTACCAAAAAGGTCCTTGACCTAAAATTATATTTTCTCATGGAGGCAAAGGCAAACCACAACAAAAAAGATACCTGAATGACATGAAAGAAGGTCATGTTCCGATTACTTATTGAGGCCAGGAATATTACGAAAGTCCACTAGAATTGGGAGTAGCAAGTTGAAATCTTTCTCAATCAGGAACTACGGCTGTTGCTAGTAGTGAAATAAGCCATTCAGTAGGAGCCGGACATGGTTTTGTTACTGGTAAGCCCCTCAAACTTTTTAAAAAAATCATCCAACTTTGATGTCCGCCTAATGGTTTGGTTCTTGACCCGTTTGCGGGAAGTGGCACCACCGGACACGCTGTTCTCCGATTAAATAAAGAAACTGGTAGCGACCGCAGTTTTATTTTGATAGAAAGCGGAAATCCGGAAAATGGTGATAACTACTGTCGCACTCTTTTACAAAAAAGATTACAGGCTGCTATTGCTGGTAAATGAGCCGACCAAAAAGAACATGAACCGCTAGGAGGAGGCTTGAAATTTACTACTCTGGATAAGCAAATAAATAATCAAGCCATTCTGCAAATGGAGCGAGCCGAGTTAATTGATACTATTATTGCTAGCCGAATTGACAAATATCAACAAAAATACCAAGGATTACAATTACTAAAAAGCGAAAATTGCCGCTACCTTATTGCCAAAAATAGCAATCAAGAAGGATTTTTCCTCATTTGGGATGGTCCAAACCAAAATGTTAATTTTACTAAGGAAGTTTACCAGTCAGTCGTGCAAGAAGCCCAAGAAAATAATTTGCGACCACCTTATCACGTTTACGCCCGTTTGTATTTATGTCAGACCGAAAGAGTTATTTTCCACCAAATTCCTAATAGTATTTTGCTCGATTTTGGTTTTGATTTAGACAAGGAGCAGTTTAATTAGAGGTTAATTTTTTTTGTCGCTCAATCTCATCATCAATTTTTTTGATTAATCAATATTATATCATCTTCTTCTTTGTTATCGAAATTGGTTTCTCAATTTTCTCCCACAACTTCTTTTATAGTTCGCCCATTGATTTTACCATTTTTGTTTTGGTTATGGTTTCAATGATTGTTTAACTATTCAAATAGCATCCTCTCTACGTCTTTCATCACTAATATTATGTTCATCTGACGAAACTCCCCGCTCCTCCAATTGTTTTCTTAAATCGTTTACTTCCTTTTCGAGTTCACAAACTCATTTACAATGTCTTTCCTTGCTTTCTTTTTCCTGCTTATAAAGTTCACTTAATCACTTATTGCTCTGCATTTTCTTTTTCCATCTTTATTTCCAAATCTTTTCTGGCTATTATTTCCTTTTCAAGCCTTTTCTCTAATTTTCTAGTTTCTTTTTTGCTCTTGTGAAAGAGTCATATTTCCGTTTTTAATTTGAGTTTTTATAAAACTTTCTGATACTCTAAAATGTTTTTATTTAAATCTATGTCAACTGTCAAGTTAATACAATTTCTAAACAGTTTTGCCATATGCTAAAAATATTAGTGAATATGAAAAGTATATTAGCACCAAGCCACCTAGATTACCAACAAAAAATCAACAATGGCAGTTTTTACACTCCTTCGGAATTGGTTAACTATGTTTGAGAATTCATTAGTCCGTTTTTAACAAAAAACACCGCTATCCTCGATACTAGTGCCGGAAAAGGCAATTTTTTTCCGAACCGCGAAAATAAAGATTTAGCCTTGATTGCGGCTGATAGCGATCAATTAGCCGTTAATTACTTACAGGAAAATTTTCCTTCTTTACAAGTTATCCAAAAAAACGCTTTAAATAATCTCAAAAGATCCGATTATAATGTTTCAGAAAAGCAAAAACTAATAATCATCGGCAATCCTCCCTACAATGATTTAACTTCTTTAAAAGCGAGAAAAATTAAAGAAAATTTTTCTCCTAATCTAACCATTGACCCAGCAATAAAATCTCGGGATTTAGGAATTAGTTTTTTACGCAGTTATTACCACTTAAAAGCGGATTATGTTTGTGTTCTCCACCCGTTAAGTTATCTAATAAAAGAAACTAATTTTAATTACTTAAAAGAGTTTAGGGATAATTATCGCTTGCTGAAATCCCTAGTAGTTGACAGCAAAAAATTTAGTGATGCCAAAGGTGCTTCTTTTCCTATTTCTATTTCTTTATATCAATTAGATGAAAAAGGAATGAATTAT